TTTTGTTTTGTTTTGTTTTGTTTTGTTTTGTTTTGTTTTGTTTTGTTTTAAGGACAGCATCTCAACCCTGCAGTGGTGGCACACAAAGGTGGGAGGATCTCTGTGAGTTTGAAGCCAGCTTGATCTAGACTGTAAGTTGCAGGACAATCAAAGCTACACAGTTAGAAACCCTGTCTCGAAAAAGAAAAACAAACAAACAAACAAATGAAGACACAGTCTTACTATGTATCATTGGCTGAACTGAATTCACTATGTAGATCAGGCTGACCTTAGAGTCACAGAGATCACCTGCTTCTGCCTCTCAAGTGCTGGGATTGAAGGCATGAGCAGCCATGCCATCTCTCAAAACCTCACACGTACCAAATTAGCTTTGAACTCACTATTTAGCCAGGTATGTCCTTGAACTTCTGGTCCTCCCTCCTCTACCTCAGAACTGTTGGCCTTATAGGAGAGTACACCACCACACTTTCTCCATGCAGTGGTGGGACAGAACCCACGACTTCACTGGTGCTAGGCAAGCACTCTCCCCACTGAGCCACCTCCCCAGCCCCCATGCATATTCCTGGAAGAGGCCAAGGCTGTCTTCACACATTTTTCTAAGTTAGAAGGAGATATGGAAAGACAGAAGAGAGTGGTTGTTTTGTCAAGGGAGCTGGGAAAACAGCAGAAGCTTGCTCAACATGTGTCATGGTTACAGTCAAGTGCATGGTGGATTACCTCATACCAACTTCCCCATCTTCAAAGCAAACACTATCGTTGAGAGGAACAGGTAGCAGAGAAGCAAAGGGTTTGAGAGTGTGGTTTCTAGAAAGAGTTTGCCTCTGTCTCAATCTCGTTCCTTTACCACTCACTCCCTTTTGCCTGTCAATGAGGCCGTGGCAGTGTGCTACAGTGCCTATTGTCCTTTTAGACAAAGGTTAGAGCGTCTAGCCCCATTACTTCGTCCCCATGTTGCCGGCTACAGCCAGGGATGGCCTCCATCGACTGTCTACCTACCTGGAAGAACTTGAGGCTGGGGACCTGAAGAAATTCAAATTATACCTGGGGATTGCAGAGGAACTGGGCCAGAACAAGATCCCCTGGGGACGAATGGAGATGGCTGGTCCTCTGGAAATGGCCCAGCTGATGGTGGCCCATATGGGGACAAGGGAGGCTTGGCTTCTGGCTCTCAGCACCTTTGAGAGGATTCACAGGAAGGACCTGTGGGAGCGAGGACAGGGAGAAGACCTGGTGAGGGGTAAGGAGGGGGAGGGAGAGCCCAGCCTGGAATACACCCATTCTCTTAGCTTTACACTTGTGAGCTGGATTCAAATTTCAGCCCAGTGGTCTTTTTCCTTGTAATCTTTTATCTACAAATCCTCCCCCCCCCTTTTTTTAGAGAGATGTGTGTGTGTGTGTGTGTGTGTGTGTGTGTGAGAGAGAGAGAGAGAGAGAGAGAGAGAGAGAGAGAGAGAGAGATTTGCGAAGTCCATTGTCTCCTTCTACCATGTGGGTCCCAGGGATCAAAGTCAAGTCACCAGGCTTGACCACGTCTCTGACCCTAACCCTGGTATTCTCTTATGTGTAAATGTTGATTCCAACACCTCTCATTACTCTACCTCCCTCTCACTCCTGTTGACCTCTTCCTCTCCCAACTTTGTCTTCTTCCTACTTTGATGTTCCAAGACTCTAGTGAGCAGAGCCTTAGTTTACCGGAGACCCCCTGAGAGAACCACGCTGATGAGAGATTGCTGCAAAATGCAAGAGGAATTTTTAATGTTCCAGCATGCTGGGGCCATCCTGCATCCCAAAAGGAGAGGTGACCCCACGCAGCTTGTTCAGCTGACATTTACACAGTCTCTCAGGGTAGTGGGCATTAGACCCAATGTGATCGGCAGAACAGTGCCTTTTTTAATTGATTGGTCTTCAGGAATGAGGACCTCCCTTGTCTGTGTGTGGCTTTTCTTTTTCAGGAGGGGAGGAGTCTGGTGGAATTTTCCTCTTCAATGTCTTTTTGAAAAAACGTGCTGGTCGCAGTGGCACACACCTGTAGTCCCAGCTACTCGGAAGGCTGAGACAGGAGGATCGCTTAAGTCCAGGAGTTCTGGGCTGTAGTGAATAGAGTATCTGCACTTAGTTCAGCATCAATAGGGTGATCTCCCGGGCTCGGGGGAACACCAGGTTGCCTAAGGAGGGGTGAGCAGGCCCAGGTGGGAAACGGAGCAGGTCAACTCCCGTGCTGGTCAGTAGTGGGATCATGCCTGTGAATAGCCACTGCACTCCACCCTGGGGAACATAGGGAGACCCCGTCTCTTTAGGGGAAAACAACAACAAAAACAACAACAACAAAAACCAACCAACCAAACAAAAAACCTTTGATTTAATGTATGAGTGCTCTGCTACATATACACCTGCAAGCCAGAAGAGGGCATCCGATTCCTTTATAGGTGATGGACTTGAACTCGAGACCACTGGAAGAGCAGTCAGTGCTCTTAACTGCTGAGCCACCTCTCCAGCCATACCTTGATGTCTTTTAGAAATATTTTTATTTATTGCTGATAGGGTATGCATGGCACATGTAAATGAGTGCAGGCACTTGGGTGTCACAGCCTGTTTGTGGAGTCAGAGGACAACTCTACTTCCAGGGGATCCAACGTTGTCTGGCATCTATAGATACCTGTATGTGTGTAGTGCATGTAAACTCATACAGCCTCACACACATACACATAAATAATAATTTGCTTTGTTTTGCTTGTTTTTGGAGACTGAGTTTATCTGTGTAGCCCTGGCCATCCTGGAATTCGCTTCGTGGACCAGGCTGGTTTTGAATTCAGAGATTCACTTGTCTGTGCCTCCTGAGTTCTGGGATAAAAGCATGTGCCATCATCATGTGCCCTAAGAATAATTTTTTTAAAATGAAAATCTACTACAAAGCTCTATCTATCTGTCTGTCTCTATGTATCTACCTATCTGTCTGTCTGTCTATCTTTCTTTCCATCATCCATCCATGTTTCTGGATTTTTTTTGTTTGTTTGTTTTGTTTTTCGAGACAGGGTTTCTCTGTATAGCTCTGGCTGTCCTGGAACTCACTCTGTAGACCAGGCTGGCCTCGAACTCAGAAATCCGCCTGCCTCTGCCTCCCAAGTGCTGGAATTAAAGGCGTGCACCACCGCAGCCTGGCTTGAGATACATTCTTACTATGTAGCCTAGGTTGGCCTCACACCTGTGTTCCTGTTGCTTCCTGAGTGCTAGGATAATAAGTATGAGTCACCACAATAAGTTATTAGTTTTTTTTTTTATTAAACAGCACTGAGTATTGAATTCACTTTTTAAAAAAAGATTTATTTATTTTGTAATAAATAAATTTCATATAAAATATCTCATATTTTATATGAATACACTGTAGCTGTCTTCAGATGGACCAGAAGAGGCCATCAGATCATTACAGATGGTTGTGAGCCACCATGTGGTTGCTGGGAATTGAGCTCAGGATCTCTGTTGGTACTCTTAACCACTGGGCCATCTCTCCATCTCTAAGATCATTTTTAAATTTTTTTTGTTTTTTGTTTTTTTTGTTTTTCGAGACAGGGTTTCTCTGTGTAGCCCTGGCTGTCCTGGAACTCACTCTGTAGACCAGGCTGGCCTCGAACTCAGAAATCCGCCTGCCTCTGCCTCCCAAGTGCTGGGATTAAAGGCGTGCGCCACCACCACGCAGCTAAAAATTTTTTTAAAGAATTATGTGTATCGATGCGTGCATGGAGTTGGAGGTCAGTATGTTGGTTCATGCAAAGGCCAGAAGAGGGTGAATCCCCTGGAGCTGGAGTTACATGCAGTTGTAAGCCATCCAGTGTGGGATCTGAGAAGCAAACCTCTTGAAAGGTGATAGGCAATGTTAACTGCCGAGACATTGTCTCCTCAGCCCCTGTTTGTTTTGAGTCAGGGTCTCATTCTGTAGTCTAGGCAAGCCTGAAACTCACGAGGAACCTCCTGCCATAGCCTCCTGATTGCTAGAATTACAGGGTGAGCCAGTGTGCCCTACAGAGTCACATCTGTAAAGCCCAGTGATTCATAACCGATGAGCTGAAACAGCTGTGCTAGGCTGACACGTAGTTAGCATCCCTGCAGAGAAAACAATATCCTTATGATAAAAACCACTCTACTGTAATGAACCCACAAAGAAACACACACAGATGGGTTAAGGAAGCCACTCAAACACTTGCCCAGCCCCTAATCTCGCCACATCTAAGTAGTACTGTATATAGTTAGAGTGACCACTCTAAAGCTTGGCGCTTTGCTGAAGGTTTTACACTTCATCGATCTATTATATTCTAATGTACTTATCCACCAGAAAAAAGAAAACACTGACAGAATTGAAACTAGAAAAACAATTTTGTCTCTTCCTCTTCTTGAGTTGTGAGTTCTTTTGCCTGCACTCTGTCCTTCCGCATCATCTAATATGAACCTGTCTGGGTCTCTGAGACTTTAAGTGTTACACTGTGCTCATACTTACAGCTCTTTACGTATATATACATACAATGTGGGCTAGGACCCAGACACGAGGGAGGATGTGCAATTGTTTCTTTCTGATATCTAAATAAGTCTAACTAAATCTATTAATATATTACATCCTAAATCCATTTTCTTGAAACTTTCATTATTTCATTTTTCTTTAGCACTGAATAAAATTTTATGTTATATACACATACCAGATTTTCACTAGCCATTTATCTCTTCGTGGACATCAGATTAGCTCCATTTCCTTGCAATAGTAAATAGAGCAGCGATAAACACAGAATGCAAGTATCTCCATGGAAGGATACGGACTTCTCAGAGTATATGCCCAGGAGCTGAATAGCTGGCTTATATGGTAATTCTACTTTTAATGTTTTCAGGAACATCTAAAATGATTTCCACAATGGATTTATCGATTTCCACTCCCTCCAGCAGTGAATAAGGATCCCTCTTTCCCCATCCTCTCCATCATTTGTGGTCAGATTTATTGATGAGAGTCAGTCTAACTGTGGTAAAGTGGTATCTCAAAACACTGGAGCTGGGAAGATGGCTCAGAGATCAAGAGTACCAGCTGCTTTTCCAGAGGACCTGGGTTCAATTCCCAACACCCACATGGAAGCTCACAGCTATCTGTAGCACCAGTTCCAGGGCATCAGACACCCTTGCACAGACTCACGCATGGGCAACACACAAATCCACATAGAAACAAGTCACTAAAAATAGTTTTAATATGCCTCTCCCTGATGACTAGGGAAGTTTAACACTTATAAAAATAATTGGCCATTTGTGTTTATTCTTTTGTAAACTGTGTATTCATTTCATTAGACCACTTATTGATTAGGCTGGGTATGGCGGCACGTACCTATAGAAACTTAAACAGGAGTAGGGTAGGGGGTGGACTACTGAAAGTTGAAGGTCAGCTTGGGCAGTACAGCTTGTGGTACATAGTAAGAATGTATCTCAAAAGTCCCAATACATGGATGGATGATGGAAAGATAGATAGATAGATAGATAGATAGATAGATAGATAGATAGATAGAGCTTTGTAGTAATAGATTTCCACTTTAAAAAAATATTCTTAGGGCACCTAGTGATGGCACATGCCTTAAAAACCAAACACATAGGCCGGTGAAGATGCTTCAGTGGATCAGGTGACTTCTACTGTCAAATCTGATCACCCTAGTTTCATCCTCAGAACCCGCATAGTAATGAAAAAGAGCTGATTCCCAAGCTTGTCCGCTGACTTCCACGCACTCCTTATGTATGCATACCTCACGCCCACAATAATATATATGATTAGGGGATATATATTATCAGCCTGATCAGGAGACACACACACACATATATCTCCAAGCTGCTGGGTGTGATGGCATCCACCTTTAATCCCAGCCCTCAGGGAAAGAGGCAAATGGATCTCTCTGAGTTCAAGGTTAGTCTGATCTACATAGCTCTAGCCCAGCCAACATTATATAACAGGACCCTGTCTCATTAAAAAAAAAAAATTAAATTACATGTCTGTATATGAAGAAAAGTATATTTTATGTGTATAAAAGATTTCCTATGTACATTTCTGTTATATTTCTTTCTCTGTGCTTATTTTGTCTGTATGGAGTGAGGATGGGAGATGAGGTGGGCTTCAAGACTGACTTCCGTGCTCCAGGCTGGCCTTGAAGGCCCTTTGTAACAAAGGATGATTTAAAATGGCTCACTGGTTAAGAGTGTTTGTTTGTTTGTTTGAGACAGGGTTTCTCTGTGTAGCCCTGGTTGTCCTGGAACGCACTCTGTAGACCAGGCTAGCCTAGAACTCAGAAATCTGCCTGCCTCTGCCTCCCAAGTTCTGGGACTAAAGGCATGTGCTACCACTGCCCAGCTCAAAGGATGATTTAAAATTCTGGTCTTTCTGCCGCTGCCTTCTAAGTGCTGAAATTCTTCTTTCTTTCTTTCTTTCCTTCTTTCTTTCTTTCTTTCTTTCTTCCTCCCTCCCTCCCTCCCTCCCTCCCTCCCTCCCTCCCTTCCTTTTTTTCTTTCTCTTTCTCTTTCTCTCTCCCTTCCTTCCTTCCTTCCTTCCTTCCTTCCTTCCTCTCTCTCTCTTTCTTCCTTTCTTTCTTCTCTCTCTGTATGTATTTATTTATATGTATATTTATACATATTAAAGAAAATTCTTTCCTAGCCACCTCCAAAAACGTCTTACCCCAGATACAATTCCATCTCCTCATTGCTTGACTTCAGGCCTATCTCTCATCACCGAGTGTGTGAAATTACATTATTTGTCTTTCGTGTGTCGCTCTCCCCTGTACCATCAGACTATCCATTTCTAACACAACACAATGAGGTGAGTGCTGGATACTCTAGCATGGTGAGCAGGAGCTACAAAGCCACACTTTGATGTAACAACAATGAATATCAGGGCTGGAAGTGTAGCTCAGTGGTAGAGTGCTTGCCCAGCATGGTCAAGGCCTTGGATTTGATGCTCTCCAGCAATAAAAAGAAAGAGAGAGAGAGAGAGAGAGAGAGAGAGAGAGAGAGAGAGAGAGGGAGAGAGAGAATAAAATATAATACTATTGATTACTAGCTGACCTCCCAAATGTTTCTTGCAGTCACTCCGAATAATGGTCTATGCTCCCTTGAGAACCAATCAGCATGCCCTTTGGATGTTTCTCCCGATGCTCCAAGAAAAGGTAAGCTATGAGTCTTGTACCTATTAGGATGTACTAGCTGCACATAAGCAATATCCCAACTGAAAGCAGGTAGAATAGAAATAGCATATAAATATATATTTACATATATATATATATATATATATATATATATATATATATATATGCCTCTCTCCTCCTTTTAATATATAATATATAACATACAATATTGCCGGGCAGTGGTGGCGCATGCCTTTAATCCCAGCACTTGGGAGGCAGAGGCAGGCAGATTTCTGAGTTCGAGGCCAGCCTGGTCTACAGAGTGAGTTCCAGGACAGCCAGGGCTACACAGAGAAACCCTGTCTCGAAAAAACAAAACAAAACAAAACAAAACAAAACAAACAAAAAAAACAAAAAAAAAAAAACAAAAAAAACCCATACACTATTATATTTATTATATTATATACATTTTTTGAGATGGGGCTTTCTACATAACCTTGGTTGTCCTGGAACTCACTATATAGATCAGGCCGGCCTTAAACTCACAGAAATACTGGGATTAAGGCATTTGATATCATGCCCAGCCAGAAATGGTATTTAATGTTGATATATGGCAAGGAGTCTTAAAGGTGAATAGATGCAGAGTTTATGTGGTAGACAAACACCATTAAAGACTTCACTTCTTTTAAATTAAAAAAAATTAAAATATTTATTTTTATTTTATGTGAGTTTGCCTGTATATGTACCACATTCATGACTAATGAGCCGGAAAGCCTTGGATCTCCTGACATTGGAGTTATATGTGGTTGTCAACCAAAGTGGGTCGTCTGCAAGAGCAGCACATGTTCTTAATCGCTGAGCCATTTCTCTAGCTCCTTTAAAAACGTTTAAACTTACTTTGTGGGCTGGAGAGATGGCTCAGTGGTTAAGAGCACTGATTGCTCTTCCAGAGGTCCTGAGTTCAATTCCCAGCAACCACATGGTGGCTCACAACCATCTGTAATGGGATCTGATGCCCTCTTCTGGTGTGTCTGATCACAGCAACTGTGTACTCACATTCATAAAATAAATAAATCTTAAAAAAAAAAAAAAAAGATTTCTATAAACTTACTTTGTATCCAGAGGGTGGAGGGTGTGCCTTGGTGCATGTGTGAATGAAGATCATAGGACACTATGAAGGTCGCTGTGTGAATCCTGGGGAATGAAGTCAGGTTGGCAAGCTCAGTGGCCAGCACCTTCACTGACCGAGCCATCTCAACCAAACTTTATTGATTCAACCAACTGCTCTATGTCAGCCATATGTCAACTTTTTAATTTGTTGTGTGGCCTGGAACTTACTACGGAGCTGAGGCTAGACTTGAACTCCTGACCCTTCCACCTTTAATTTCCAAGTGCTGGGGTGACAGGTTCTTAGCTGAAGTCTATTCTATTTGACTTTCTAGTTTGTGGGTGTGAGATAGCTACCAAACTACTTCTCACAAACAAATCACAGTTTAGGAGCAGAAAGGGAAGGAGCTGGGTGAGTTGCCTGTAATCTCAGTGACTCAGGAGGCCAAAGCAGATAGATTGTAGCAAGCTTACACTTAGTTTGGACTGCTTGTAGAAGCCCTCTCAAACAACATTACACATCCCCAACTGCTAAATCATCTCTCTAGCACATGCCCTCCCCCCCACCCCACCCCCTACACCTCGTGATTCTCAAATGCTGCATCCCAGAAAATCCCTGTTCAACTGATATGGAGCTCCTGAAGCATCTCTTCTCCAGCAACTGTTCATTGCTTACATAAACTTAGGGAGAGGCCTTATGAACTCTGGAACTTTTGGAGTTTCATGAGCCTTGTAAATTTCACGAACTTTTTGAGTCTAGTGTCATTAGCTCCAAGTCTTATAAATCTCTCTCCAGGAAGACATGTTTCAAGACAGAGAAATCAATCATTTGGGACTTATGAGTTCTCTTGGGGAAGACATGTTTTAAGTCAGAAGAATCAATTGCTGTACAACAGACACAAGGAATATGTACTCACAGAATGTGTACACTTGAATATGTACACAGAATATGTACACAGAATATGTACACTTGAATGCCTCAACTTCCCAGGAGAAGGGTTCTCGGATTGCAGCTAGAAACTGTTCTGAGGACCTAGCTCAACAGTTCCTCAACCGGAAGAACAAGTAGCCAATAGACCATGCTTGGCAGTCGTTGAATTCATTGTGATCTGCTGATAACATCTGGGAGTGGTGGCTTACCCTAGTAATCACAGGGCTTGCAGGGCTTGGGGTAGGGAGTGGGGGGTATTGAGGCAGGGGAATGAAGAAAAGTTAGAAACCAGTCTGAATTAAAGAGAAAGACTATTGCTGAAGAAAAAGAAAGAAAGAAAGAGAGAGAGAGAGAGAGAGAGAGAGAGAAAGAAGGAAAGAAAGAAAGGAAGAAAGGAAGGAAGGAAGGAGTCGGGCAGTGGTGGCGCATGCCTTTAATCCCAGCACTTGGGAAGCAGAGGCAGGCGGATTTCTGAGTTTGAGGCCAGCCTGGTCTACAGAGTGAGTTCCAGGACAGCCAAGGCTATTCAGAGAAACCCTGTCTCAAAAAAACCAACCAACCAACCAAACAAACAAACAAAAAAAAAAAAAAGGAAGGAAGGAAGGAAGGAAGGAAGGAAGGAAGGAAGGAAGGCAGGAAAGAAGGCAAAGTGGCTTGTGCCCGTAATTCCCAGAACTAGAAAAGCAGAAGCAACAGGTTCAGTGGTTCAAGGTTGTCCCTGGCTATACAGCTAGTTTGCAGTCAGTGTGACAATATGAAACTCCTCTCAAACAAACAACAGAAAGTGAAGGGGGTGAGGTATGTAGCTCAGTTGTTTGAGAACTTGCCTAGCATCCATGAAATCCTGTGTTCAGTCCCCGGCATCACATGAATTGGATGTGGTGGCACAGGGCTGGAACCCCAGCACGTGTGGGGTATTGACAGGAAGATCAAAAGTCATCTTTGAACATATAGCAAGTCTGAGGCCAACCTGGGCTACATGAAACCCTGTTTCAAGGGGGAAAATACTGGGATCAGAGAGATGGCTCACTGATTAAGAAAGTTTACTGCTCTATCAGAGGACAGAGCTGGAAGGTAGATGCCAGCACTCACATCAGATAGTTCCTGACAACCCTTAACTCCAGTGCCAGGGATTCAAAACCCTTCGCTGGCCTCTCTGGGCACTCCGTGTGCATGTGCACATACACATAGCTCAAAAATAAAAACAGGGCCTGGAGAGATGATTCAGCAGTTAAGAGCAGTGGTTGAAGTTCCAGAGGATCTGAGTTTGATTATCAGCACCCACATAGCAAATCTGTAACTTCCGTCCCAGGGTCCAACGCCTTTGGCCTCTGCAGGTATTTGAATAAAGCACCCATATGCATTAAAAAGTGCAAATTAAATTAAAAATAAAAATTTTCTCAAAAAGTTGCAAACGGCTATGCCACTGACCTTTCCTTTCTCTCTGCTAGATCCCCAGACAACCTACAAAGACTATGTCCGAAGGAAATTCCGTCTAATGGAAGACCGCAATGCACGACTAGGCGAATGTGTCAACCTGAGCCATCGGTACACTCGGCTTCTCCTAGTAAAGGAACACGCAAATCCTATCTGGGCACAGGAAAAACTTCTGGATATAGGGTGGGGACACTCCAGAACCAGGAGCCACCAGGCTAGCCCTATCCAAATGGAGACCCTCTTTGAGCCAGACGAAGAACGCCCTGAGCCACCACGCACGGTGGTATTACAAGGGGCAGCAGGGATGGGGAAGTCCATGCTGGCCCACAAAGTGATGTTGGACTGGGCCGATGGGAGGCTCTTCCAAGGTCGGTTCGATTTTGTCTTCTATATCAGCTGCAAGGAGTTGAACAGAAGCCACACCCAGTGCAGCGTACAGGACCTTATCTCCAGCTGCTGGCCAGAGCGAGGTGCACCCCTCGAGGACCTCATTCGGGCTCCTGATCGTCTCCTATTCATCATTGATGGCTTCGATAAGCTCCATCCTTCTTTCCATGATGCTCAGGGTCCCTGGTGCCTCTGCTGGGAGGAGAAACGACCCACTGAACTCCTCCTCGGAAGTCTGATTCGGAGGTTGCTTCTGCCCCAGCTCTCTTTGCTCATCACCACACGACCCTGTGCACTGGAGAAGCTGCATGGCTTGCTGGAACACCCCAGGCATGTGGAGATCCTAGGCTTCTCTGAGGCAGAGAGGAAGGAATATTTCTACAGATATTTCCACAACACTGGACAAGCAAGCCAAGTGTTTAGCTTCATGATGGACTATGAGCCCCTCTTTACCATGTGTTTTGTTCCCATGGTGTCTTGGGTGGTCTGCACCTGCCTAAAGCAGCAGCTGGAAAGTGGGGAGCTTTTAAGACAAACATCTAGGACCACCACAGCGGTTTATATGTTCTACCTTCTGAGCTTGATGCAGCCCAAGCCAGGGACCCCAACTTTCAAAGTCCCAGCCAACCAGAGAGGCCTGGTCTCTCTGGCTGCAGAGGGTCTCTGGAATCAGAAGATTCTATTTGACGAACAGGATCTTGGGAAACACGGCCTAGATGGAGCAGATGTCTCCACTTTCCTCAACGTGAACATATTCCAGAAGGGCATCAAGTGTGAGAAATTCTACAGCTTCATCCACTTGAGTTTCCAGGAATTCTTCGCAGCCATGTACTGTGCACTGCATGGCAGAGAGGCGGTGAGGAGGGCGCTGGCTGAGTATGGTTTCTCGGAAAGGAACTTCTTGGCCCTCACGGTGCGCTTCCTGTTTGGCCTCCTCAATGAAGAGATGAGATGCTACCTCGAGAGGAATCTCGGCTGGACCATCTCCCCTCAGGTCAAGGAGGAAGCGTTGGCATGGATCCAAAACAAGGCTCAAAGCGAAGGCTCCACCCTGCAGCATGGCTCCCTGGAGCTACTCGGCTGCCTGTATGAGATCCAGGAGGAGGACTTTATCCAGCAGGCTCTGAGCCACTTTCAAGTGGTTGTAGTCAGAAACATCTCAACAAAGATGGAGCACATGGTCTGCTCGTTTTGTGTGAGGTACTGCAGAAGCACAGAGGTGCTTCATTTGTATGGGAGTGCCTATAATACAGGCACAGAGGATGACCCACCAGAACCTTCCGGAGCCCAGACTCAGTCCGCACAGTCGTAAGTGCTCTTGGGGAACAGTGCTCCAATTTAATGCCTTTAATCTGTGCTTTTCAACTGAGGCGATTTGGGGAGGGGTAGGAGCTTTTGTTTTGCTTGAGGATATCTATCTATCTATCTATCTATCTATCTATCTATCTATCTATCTATCTATCTATCTATCTCTGAAGACCAGGTTAGACCTGAACTCACAGAGTTCCACCTGCCTCTGCCTCCCTGGGATTAAAGGTGTGTACCACCACTGCTCAGCTTTGCTTGGGGACTTTTAAAAAATATTTTCATTAAAAATATTTTTAAGGCCGGGCGATGATGGCTCACGCCTTTAATCCCAGCACTTGGGAGGCAGAGACAGGCGGATTTCTGAGTTTGAGGCCAGCCTGGTCTACAGAGTGAGTTCCAGGACAGCCAGGGCTACACAGAGAAACCCTGTCTTGAAAAACAAAACAAAACCAAAAAAATTAAATTGATATATATATGTATATGTATATATGTATGTGTGTGTGTCTGTGTGTGTGTGTCTGTGTGTGTGTGTCTGTGTGATGTATATGCAGGTACTCAAGCAAGCCAGAAGAGGGCAACAGATCCCCTAGAGCTAGAACCATTATGAGCCACTAGACATGAGTGCTGGGAACAGGTTAGATCCTGTGGGAGAGCAACAAGCAAGCTCTCTTAACCACTGCGCCATCTCTCCAGTCATTATCTTATTTAATTGTGTGCATGCATGTGTGTGTGTGTGTGTAGGTGTGTGCACTTGAGTATAAGTGTCAGAAGAGGGCGTTGGGTCCCCAGGAACTGGAGTTACAGGCAGTTGTGAGCTGATGTGGGTGCTGGAAACTGAACTCAGGCCCTCTAGAAGAGTTCTTAACAACTGAGCCATACCTCAGTGGTTTGGGGATTTAAATTTTTGTTTTATTTTACAGCTTTTATTACATTCATTTTATTTTGTATGCATGTCTATGGGTGCTGTGTCATGGCATGGGGATTCGGGTCAGGGACAATTTGTGAGTCTCAGGGATTGAACTCAGGTCATGAGGCTCGTTGGCAAGAATCTTTACCCAACTGAGCCATCCCACTAACCCTTACATTTTATTTTATTCAATTTTAGTATCTGTGTGTGCCTCTTTCTCTCTGTGTGACTCTGTCTCTGTGTATATGCATGCCTATGTCTCTCTGTATGTCTATGTCTGACTCTACGTGTGTCTCTGTGTGTTCTCTCTGTGTGTCTGTGTCTCCTTGTTTCTATGTTTATGTCTCTCTGCTTGTCTGTCTCTGTCTCTCTCTCTCACTGTGTGTGTGTGTGTTTCTCTGTCTCTCTATCTCTGTGTATGTGTATGTCCCCACTTTTGCCATGGGGATTGGGGGTGGGGTGGGTGTGGGAAGGGCCTGAGATAAGAGGATCTTTGTGAGTTAGAGGCCAACCTGGTCTACAGAGTTCCAGGGCACGCAGTTGACAGTTCTGGGGCCATACACAGAGAAAACCTGTCTAAAAAAAAAAAAAAAAAAAAAAAAAAAAAGCAAAAAACAATAAATAAAATAAATAAAAAAGAAAATAAAAAAATTTGGAAGTGGGTTTTCTGCTTTATTCCTGCTGTGCTGTCTCACTGGCCTGCTTCTGTTTTCTGAGACAGGGTCTCCTGTAGCTCAAGTTTGCCTCCAACTCACTGTGCAGCTGAGGCTGATAAGTTAATAATTGAACCCTTGATCCTCCAGCCCTCACCTCCCAAGTATGGGACTACAGGCATGCCCCACAATGCCCAGCTTGTTTTGACAGGGCCACACTATCAATCCTCCTGCCTCAGCCTCTCAGGTGTTGGGATTACAAATGTGAATCACCAGAACCACCAGCCAAGGATTTTGTTGTCTCACTCTGGCCCTCCAGACAGATATCCAGAAAATCTGTGGAAATGTTTTTGTTGTCACAATGGGAAGCTGGATGGTGCTACTGACACCTAGTGGCAATAAGTGGAGATGCTGAGACTAGGCCTACATAGGCAGGGTGGTTCCAGCAAAACATTAAAACAGTCTCTAAATACTCAGTAGGATCCAAACAGCATACAAGGTGGTCTCCAAAACATACAGGGTAGTCTGTATAGAAAGAAAAATACCAGCCAGGCGGTAGTGGCGCATGCCTTTAATCCCAGCAGTTGGGAGGCAGAGGCAGGCCAATTTCTGAGTTCGAGGCCAGCCTGGTCTAAAGAGTGAGTTCCAGGACAGCCAGGGCTACAGAGAGAAACCCTGTCTCAAAAAACCAAAAAAAAAAAAAAAAAAAAAAAGAAGAAAAGAAAAAAAGAAAAAAAAAAGAAAAATACCAATAATGCAAGAGCGGGGACATTTGCTTAAACAATATTAACTGGTACTAAACCTGAGCTCACGAGAGGAAGAGTCTGTTGTAACAAACCTTTTCAGGGGCTGAAGAGATGGATGGCTCAGAAGTTAAGATTGGCTGTTATTCCAGAGGTTCTGAGTTCAATTCCCAGCAACCACATAGTGGGTGGTTCATAACCACCTATAATGAGATCTGGTGGCCCTCTTCTGGCCTGCAGACATATGGGCAGGCAGACTGCTGTATACATAATAAACAAACAAATAAATAAATAAATCTTTTTTTTTGGTTTTTCGAGACAGGGTTTCTCTGTGTAGCCCTGGCTGTCTTGGAACTCACTCTGTAGACCAGGCTGGCCTCGAACTCAGAAATCCACCTGCCTCTGCCTCCCAAGTGCTGGGATTAAAGGCAAAACTTCCCTGGGTAACTGGCATCCTGATTGACAGAGAGAGAGAGAAAGAGAGAGAGAGAGAGAGAGAGTGTGAGTGAGAGAGAGAGAGAGAGAGTCAGTCCTGGTTGGCAAGTTGAAACATGAATGCTAGGCAAGTCACCTCCCACAGTTGAATATTAACCCAACCAATGGGAACAGGGTAAGTGTACCACCACAAGTCCCCCATCCCTAAAATCCCAATTGGTAGGATAAGTTAGCACAGATATTTGTAGTTTGGGAGCTTTTAAAACTCTGTAGTATTCTGACTCAAGGTTATGCAGTTCAGTGCCTGAGTCTGTTCTGTGGCCTTGATTGATCAGTAGTGGCCTGAGTACAACAACAACAACAACAACAACAAAATTGTTATCTTTACTAAGGGGCTGGAGAGATGACTCAGTGGTTAAGAGCACTGACTGCTCTTCCAGAGGTCTTGAGTTCAATTCCCAACAACCACATGTTGGCTCACAACCATCTGTAATGGGATCTGATGTCCTCTTCTGGTGTGTCTGAAGACAGTGAGTGACAGTGTACTCATATACATAAAATAAATAAATACAATCTTTTAAAAAAATACTAAGATGAACATTCAGCCAGGCAGTGGTGGCGCACGCCTTTAATCCCAGCACTTGGGTGGCAGAGGCAGGTGGATTTCTGAGTTCGAGGCCAGCCTGCTCTACAGAGTGAGTTCCAGGACAGCCAGGGCTACACAGAGAAACCCTGTCTTGAAAAACAAAAAAAAAAAAAAAGAAAAAGAAAAAGAAAAAGAAAAAAGATGAACATTCAAAGACACAGTCAGCTCCTAAGTCTGTGCTGTTCTCCCTAGCTAGTCAGTTTTGTTGCCTAATTTAAATAAAGATCTTGCTTTGCTGGACTCTTGTGCTTGCTTGGGTCATTTTGGATTTTTGGACCCTACCACTAGGTGTCGTAATGGCATGTGCTTTTATTCCTAGTACTTTGTCAGGAGACAAAGGCTGGCAGATCTCTCTCTGTGAGTTCAAGGCCAACCTGGTTTACACAGTAAGTTCTAGGACAGCCAGAGTTAAACAGTGAGACCCTGCTTCAAAACAAAACAGACACACACACACACAGGGAAGGGAGGTAAGAAAAAAAAAAAAGGACAAAATAAAGAAAGAAAAGAACTGTGTGTCTGAAGTCAAGCATGGTATCTCACACTGCTGTAATCCCAGAAACTGAGAGGTAAAGAACAGAAGATCAGGAGTTTAAGGTACACAACAAGTTCAGGACCAGCCTGGGCTACATGTGGAAACCCCCCCCCCCCATCAAAACACACACACATACGAATAATCTAAGAGTCTTGGAGTTTGAGATAAACTTGGAAATAGCAAGGGGGAAAACATTATATAAATAGGCTAAGATGCTTCCTGAGTTGTTAAATGGAATACTTGTGTCAGCCATAATGATTACATGGACCACTAAACTACATGTTGGCCTTTACACAGACAGGAGAGGAACATACTTCCTGACATCTACAGTGCATACCTCTCAGCAGCTGTCTGCACCAACTCAAACCTCATCGAGCTGGCCTTGTACCGCAATGCCCTGGGCAGCCAGGGTGTGCGGCTGCTCTGTCAAGGCCTCCAGCATGCCAACTGCAAGCTTCAGAACCTGAGGTGAGTCCCGGCTGCAACATGAGTTTCTCATGGTCCACACCACCCTCTCCCATAAGACTCATCTAAGAACACACAGGGTGATGTCTGTTTGCCATGACTCCTGTGGCAGTGTGCCACAGTAGGAAAGCCTCTTCAACCACTTTTTTTTTTAAATATAATTTATTTTGTATATCTGTGTGGGGGTGTTGGATCCCCCAGAACAGGAATTACAGATAGTTGTGAGCTGCCATTTGGGTGCTGAGAATTGAACCCTAGTCGCTTGGAAGATCATCCAGTGCTCTTAACCACTAAGCCTCTAGACTCTCTTCTTCCATTTAAAACAACCACAAAACAAAAAAACAAAACAAAGCAGGGCTTTGCTATGCAGCCCTGGCTGAACCTCTCTGTATAAGCCAGCATGGCCTCCACTTCCTGTCTTCCCCCTGCCCCACCATCTTTCCATATTGCTGGGATTAAAGGTGTGATTCTATGCTAGGGTTACAGCCTTTAAAACATTTATTATTATTATTATTATTATTATTATTAAATTTATTTATATGTGTGTCTGCATACGAAGAGCACAGACGGACATTAGATCACCTGGAACTAGATTTACAAGCACTTGTGAACTGCCTGATACCTGACAGGCGTACTGGGAATAGAACTTGTGTCCTGTGCAAGAGCAGTTTGTGCTCTTAACCAGTGAGTCTTCTCTTCAGCCCTACAGCCTTATATTTTGAAGCAAGCTCTTAAAACTGAGCCTGGAGATTACTCCTGGAATCCACTTGCCTCAGCCTCCTCTGTGAAGGGGCTGTACCACTGTGTCACTCTCCAGGCCCCACTACTGGGCAATTCTAGGCAGGAGCTCTACCACCAAGTCACATCACAACCTCTCACTGGGTGATTCTAGGCAGGGGCTCTACGACTGAGTCACCTCCAGATTTTCCCTGGGGTGCTGGGGATAAAACCCAGGTCTTCACTTTACACACTGAGCCATGTATCTAGCCCCTACAGTATTTTTTTTTTTTTGATTCAAAAAAACTCCATACTAGACCACTATCACCCAAGCCTTAGTTGCTATCATATTTTTCTTTGTCCTCAGGACAGAAACCCAGGACTACAAATGTGCAATTTAATGTCTCTGCCACTGAGCTGGGAACTTCTCCTTTATTTTATATCAGATAAAAAGGGGAGAAACAACCCAGGTGTAGTGGCACATGGCTTTAATCCCCCCCACCCCACCTCCACCCCACCCCCGACTTGGGAGGCAGAGCCAAGCAGTCTACAGAGTTTGAGGCTGAGGCCAGTTTTCTCTGCATAGCAAGTTCCAGGACAGCCAGGGCTACACAGAGAAATCCTGTCTCAAGGGAAAGAAAGAGAGAAAGAAAGAAAGAAAGGAAAGAAAGAAAGAAAGAAAGAAAGAAAGAAAGAAAGAAAGAAAGAAAGAAAGAAAGAAAGAAAGATCCAAACAAAAATAAAGGGGGGATGGAGAGGCATGTGTAACCTTTAAAAAGAGGGACAAATGTCAAGCAGAGAATATTCCAGAACAGCCACTGAGTAAATGACTTGCTCTGCCTTCCTTTCCCCCTAAGGCTAAAGAGGTGTCAGATCTCCACGTCAGCCTGCCAGGACCTCGCTGCAGCTGTCATCGCCAATAGGAATTTAATCAGGCTGGACCTCAGCGGCAACAGCCTTGGGGTGCTAGGCCTGGAACTGCTCTGTGAGGGGCTGCAGCACCCCAGGTGTAGGCTGCAGATGATCCAGTGAGTGGGTCTGCACTAGGCGTGCTTCTCCTTATGCTCCTGCTCCTCCCCCCTCCCTTCTCCTTCTGCTTGTCCTCCTTGGGCTCCTCCCCCTCCTCTTTAAATCCCATTAGCATATGTGAATTGTACATATTCCTGAGGTTCCTTGCCTCTTCCCCCACCTCTACCCCTGTTCTTTCTCTCTCAATTTATTAAGACAGGGTCTCAGGTAGCCCAGGTTGGCCTCAAACTGGCTATGTAGCATAGGCTGGTTTTGAACTCCCCGTTCTGTTATCTGTATGCTGGGAGTGTGCCTTCCGTGTGATATTTCGATATGTATATCACACGCACAGATCAAACACAGCCCGCTTTTCCTTACTATCCCCAAAAGGTTCATTTTAAACAAAATAGATTTTTGTTTGTTTGTTTTTGTCTTCAGTTTTGAACTTTTGAGACAGGGTCTCACTGTGTAGCCCTTCCTGATTTGCACTTGCTGTGTAGACCAAGCTGACTTTGCACTTATAGAGGTTTGTGTGCCTCTGACTCCCCAATGCTAAAATTAAAGGGGTACATGACCATACCCAGTGCCAATAGATTCTTTAAAAATTATTTCAGGCCTGGTGTGATGGCACATACCTTTAATTCCAGCACTTGGGAGGTAGAGGCAGGTGGATCTCTACAAGTTCAAGGCTATCCCGTCTACTTAGACTCTGTCTCAATAAACAAAACCAACCAACCAACCAAATCAACCCAACCCAACTACATAGGGAAGAGAAAAAAACTACATAGGTTCATGTTGGGTGACTACACAGAACATAATGGCCTCTTCACCTTCTCCCTCCTAGGCTGAGGAAGTGTCTGCTGGAGGCTGCAGCTGGCCGAGTGTTGGCCTCTGTTCTCAGCAGCAACTCACATCTGGTAGAACTGGATCTGACAGGAAACCCCTTGGAGGATTTGGGGCTGAAGTTATTGTGTCAAGGGCTGAAGCACCCAGTCTGCAGGCTTCGGACCTTGTGGTGAGTTCTTCCGGGGCCAGCTCAGAGGGCAGTTCTGTCTGTGTTGACTCAAAGTAGACAAATAAACCAGGTGTTACATTTCATCCTAGTACTCAGAGTGCTGAGGCAGGGCTGTTGCCAATGAGGTGTTTCCAGGCCCTTGGCTTCTTACTCAAGCCTGAAATAAAAGGGAACTGAAAAGTTGGCTCAGAGGTTAAGAACCCATGTTGGTTTCACAAAAGGACCTTGGGTCAGTTCCCAGTGTCCACATGACAATCACAACTTCAGTAAAGCCAGTCCCAGGGGATCTTGGAACTGGAAGAGCAGCCAGTGCTCTTAACCTCAAACCCATCTCTCTACTCCCATAAAATAATAATTAATAATAATAATGATAATAATAATATTTGACAGCAGGGGCCAGAAGGATGGCTCAGCAGGTAAAAGCCCTTGCTATCAAGCCTGATGACTGAATTCAATGGCCTGGATTATTACTGAGGAAATAGAAACCTGATCTTCGCAGACATAACCCCAAAGTGCTGACATCAAAAACACGATGCATATGCCAGTCTTATTTGTTTTACCCAATAAAAACAAGTCTTACTAAAAAAAACTACCTGTAGGAGCTCACGAGGTAGTTCAGGGTAAAGGCACCTGTCACCAAGCCTGTCAACCTGAGTTTAGTGCCAGAGGTCCATACTATGCAAGGAGAAAGATGAGTCTTGCAAGATGTCCTATAACTCTGCCCACAATGGGTTCCTACAACAAACAAACAAACAAACAAACAAAAAATACAAACCTCAAGGGCTAGAGACATGGCTCAGTAGTTAAGAGCACTTGTTGCTGTGGGCATCTACACACATACATCATATATATATGATGTATGTATATATTTTTTTTTTCGTTTTTGTTTTTTCGAGACAGGGTTTCTCTGTATAGCCTGGGCTGTCCTGGAACTCACTCTGTAGACCAGGCTGGCCTTGAACTCTCAAACTCAGAAATCCGCCTGCCTCTGCCTCCCAAGTGCTGGGATTAAAGGGGTGCATCACCACCGCCCGACCTCACAAAATATTTTTTGAGACAGGGTCTCATTCTGTGTCTTTAACTAACCTGAAATTTGATACATAGACTAGATTGGACTTGAGCTCAACAGGGATTCCATCTGTCTCTGATTTCTGTATGCTAGGATTTAGGATTAAAGGTGTGTGTGCACTACTACATTTGATATCACAAAATATTTTTAAGTATAATTTGAAAAATCCATATATATATTCTGATACACATAATATCATTATTTGTCATCTTGAACAGTTTTTGTTTTTGTGTTTTCCTTGGGGTTTTATTTTGTTTTGGTTGGATTTGTTGTTGTTGTTGGGTTTTTGTTTGTTTGTTCGTTTGGCTTTTTGGTGATTCTGGGAATCAAACCCAGAACTTTGCATGTATCAAGCAAGTCAAGCAAGTGTCCTACTACTGAGCTACACCCCTAGCTTGAGACGGAGTCTTACTATGTACCCAGGCTAGTCTCTAATGGAGCATCCTCCTGCCTCTGTCTACAAAATGCCAGTGGGTGTCACAGGTATGTGCCACACAGCTTGCTGAGGACATTTAAGTCTGAAAATAGGACAGAAGATAAATTTAGTCCCCTCCCCCCCCCCCCCCCCCGAGGCTCGCATCATGCTTACTGAGCTGGATGTTATGTAGGCTGAAGATCTGCCACCTTGGACAAGCTTCCTGTGAAGATCTGGCCTCTACTCTCAAAATGAACCAGAGCCTGATGGAGCTAGACCTAGGTCTGAATGACCTTGGGGATTCTGGGGTGCTTCTGCTGTGTGAGGGCCTCAGGCATCCAGACTGCAAACTCCAGACCCTCCGGTGAGTGTGATCAGCCTAGTTCTCTCTTCTCTGGCACTGAGGTCGTGGTACCTCCCATTTCCTTACCTGCTCCACACACAGCATCTTTCAAGATTTCTTGGTACAGGGCCTTTCTTTATACAAACCACTGACATTCCCTGAAATTGCCCTTCTGCCCTCCTGTCTACCTCATTTCCAGGGAAGATTGGCTAACCCTTCAGGTCTCAGAACAAACACCACTGACCAAAATGTACCCTCTGTTCTAGTTTGTTTTCTGTTACTGTGATAAACATCATGACCAACGTGACTTTGGAAGGCAAGGGTTTATTTTAGCTTTCTGGTTATAGTTCATTCATTATTGAGGGAACCCAAAGCAGAAGTCTGAGGCAGGAAAAAAAAAACAGAACAAACAGGCAGAGGCAGGCAGATTTCTGAGTTCAAGACCAGCCTGGTTTACAGAATGAATTCCAGGACAGCTAGGACTACACAAAGAAAAACCCCCTAAAAAAAAAAAAAAAAAAAAAAAAAAAAAAGAATTATCTATTTTATGTATATGAGCACACTGTAGCTATCCTCAGACACACCAGAAGAGGACATCAGATCTCATTACAGATGGTTGTGAGCCACCATGCGGTTGCTGGAAATTGAACTCAGGACCTCTGAAAGAGCAGTCAGGACTCTTAATCTCTGAGCCATCTCTCCAGCCCTCCAAAAAGAAATTTTTTTTTACAGATATTTTCACTCTCATGCCTGTGTGAGTGTGTGCCACATGTTTGCATGTGTGCTCAGAGCAAGAAGATCTCACATCCTCTGTTGTGTACTGCTGCCTGCCCAGCATGGGTGCTAAGAACCAAACTGGGGCCCTTTATAAAAGAAGCAAGTGCTCTTAACCATCTCTGTAGCAGGACGCCCCCTCTACTTTTCTGTTTCATTTTGGTTTTGGAGACAGGGTTTGAGGTAGCTCAGGCTACTTGCTCTGCAGCACAGGTCAACGTTGAACTCCTGTATACTTGATTTCCCAAGAATAATGACCACAGACAGGCAATGCCACACCCCAAATACTAGGGATGGAGTCCAGGGTGTGTATTAGGCAAGTACTCTAGCAAATGAACACCACCCCACCCCACCTTTTCTTTAAAAAAAAATAAATAAATTTTTTTTTAAAAAACTACATATTTGGCTTATTGGCCACATGTAGGTGTATGGCAACATACATGCCTAGTACCCACAGAGGCTAGAAGAGGGATTTAGACTCCCTGGGATTGGAGTTACTGTCAGTTGTGAGCTATCACATGGGTGCTGGTCATCGAACCACTGCTTGTTAGTGCTGAGCTATATCTCTAGCCCATCTCCTGTTCTTATTTATTTTGTATTTTTCTGAGTTTCATTCTACCTGGGCCTTTGCTTTCTGTCCTATCTTCCTCTCTGCCTTCTCTTTTCTCTTTCAAAAGTAGGCAAAGCCATATCCCTGCACCCAGCATTTGCACCCACCCTGCACCAGTGTAAATTTGGCACTTTTATCCCAGCCCTGATGACATTACCAAAAGGTACAGGGCAAACTCAGCTTGGCCTACCTCTAGGTTGGGCATTTGTCGACTGGGCTCAGACGCGTGTGCAGGGATTGCCAGTGTGCTCCAGGTCAACACATGCCTCAGAGAGCTGGACCTGAGCTTCAATGACTTGGGAGACAGAGGCCTGTGGCTCCTGGGGGAAGGCCTGAGGCACCAGACATGCAGACTCCAGAAGCTGTGGTGAGAATTTTTTTTCCTTGGGAGGGGGGAGAGGGAAAGGGTGGGAATGTTAATGGAGGCAACAGCTTTTCCTTTTGTTTCTGTGCCCCTTTCCCCTTTCTTTGAAAAATCCAAACGTAAATGAAAAGACAACATTTGGTTTGGGGAGGTGACTCAGCCCCCAAATTCTCTGTCTCACTTGTAGGAAGCACAGGTTCCAACCCTAGAACTGCACAAATTGAGTCTGATAGCTCTTCCCTGTAATCATGGCATTTGGACGATGAAAGGCAGGAAGACCAGAAGGTTGATTTTGAGGCCATCCTGGGCTATATACAATTCTGACTTTAACAAAAAGTGTGCAAGGCCAATGGGGTTAAATCTTTGATGGCTTTGACAAACTCTGTTTGCTCCTTTCAGACTCACATGGTAGAGGATCAACTCCTTCATGTGTGTCCTGACACCACACACACACACACACACACACACACACAAAATCACTATAGCAGGAAGCACAGTAAAGAAATAGAACTGAAGCCTTTAATCCCAGCACTTGGGAGGCAGAGGCAGGCAGATTTCTGAGTTCGAGGCCAGCCTGGTCTACAGAGTGAGTTCCAGGACAGCCAGGGCTACACAGAGAAACCCTGTCTCGAAAAAAAACAAACAAAAAAAAAGAACTGAAGAAAGAATAGCATCTCCCACCCAAAATCCAAAAACAAACCAAAACAAGCAAACAGGTGATGCACTTTTGAGGCTGTTTAGAGTTTTCCTGAAAAAAGGCATTTATTAACTTGTGTAACAAAAAGGATCTGCCTTCATGCACGGCTTGATCTGGGAATTTGATTTAGATTAAAAAATTTGAAAATTATTTGATTTTTATCTATGCATACGTACATCTTGGCCTGGGTGTGTCCACAGAGGCCAGATTATGACCTCAGATCCTCGGGAGTACCTGTTACATGTTGTGAACCAACAAATCAGGACTGGAAACCAAACTTGGGTTCTCTGGAATAACAGGCTTAGCCACTGAGCCATCTTTCCAGTTTTGGCTTTTGGATTTTGGGTTATTCTGATCTCTTATTACATTGGCTCCACTCTCAGGCTAACCCTGCTTCATGGCAGGGTCCTTGCTGTTCTGTTTGGTCCCAAACACATTGTCATTTTTGAGACAGGGTTTCACTGTTTAACCTTGACTGCCCTGGAACTCACTCTATAGACCAGGCTGGCCTCGAACTTTGAGATCTGCCTGCCTCTGCCTCCCAAGTGATGGGATTAAAGGTGTGCGTCACTACTCTCAGGCTTCCAAATCCACATCCTTAACAAGCTGAACATATTAAGACTCATTGTTTACAGATCTGTGGAGAGGCCACTTCTGGAAACTTGGCAGGAATTTGTCATTGGGCCAGGACAAGGAAGTAAGCTCAAGTAGGAATCTGATTTTGAGCTAGAACAAAGAAGTAGGCTTTATGACTTTGGGCTAGGACAGGGAAGCAGGCTCAGATATCTTGGTCATCCTGATAACCCTTAAAAACAGCTATTGTGGGACTTTGTTTATTGCCTTGCTTATTCCTTAACCTAGAACTGACCTTATTACATGCATGTAATTAAAATAGTATAAAAGAAGATTGGGAAAAAAAATAAACCGGATTCAGCCTCAGAACTGGCTGGGGTCATGCTATAGTGTTGTCTAATTGTCTCTTTCTTTTTAATCCTCGCTCCTGCCCTAGAGAACCTGTGGACCGACTGAGCTGACATGGTCAAAGATGTGTTCTTTGGAGACAGGGAACCACTGAGGGCTGGCACAATCCCTACCTCTTCTCTATGAGGCCAAATTTGGCTCTAGACTAAAATTGAGGAACAATTAATCACAAAAGGAAATGTTTGATCCTTGGCTCCAAAGTACATGAGGATCCAATCTATATATAATAACTCACATTATTATAACTTGTACTATTTTTCTGTTGTTGTGATAAGACACCCTGATCAAAAGCAACTTACAGAAAAATGGGTTTATTCTGGCTTACTGTTCCAAAGAATAGGGTCTGATTTGGTGACAGGATGGAAAGGGATAGCAGGAGCTTGAAACAACCCCAAATCTTTGCTTTGTAGACCAGGGTAGCATTGAACTTAGAGATCTAACTGCCTCTGCCCACCAAGTGCTGGGATTAAAGGTGTGTACCACCACATCTGGTTTAAACCCAAGAGCTACAAATGCTCTCAACTGCTGAGCCATCACTCCAGCCCCTCTTAATCTTTTTGTGTGTGGCACACTGGAGCTAATTAGAACCCTGCATGAGCATGGTGGGGTGACTGCTGACTAAGTGCTACACCACTCACTAAGGAATGTGTCCAGCAACCACTGGATAGGTTCATGACAGTTTCCTTTAAACAAGGTCAACAGGGCTGGAGAGATGGCTCAGAGGTTCAGAGTACTGGATGCTCTTGTAAAGATACTGAGTTCAATTCGCAGCAACCACATGGTGGCTTATAACCATCTATAATGAGATCTGGTGCCCTCTTCTGGCCTGCAGGCATACAAGCAGGCAGAACACTGTCTAATTTATGCATAATAGATAAATGTTTTCAAAAAATGTCAACTGAAGCTGGGCGGTGGTGGCGCACGCCTTTAATCCCAGCACTTGGGAGGTAGAGGCAGGCAGATTTCTGAGTTCGAGGCCAGCCTGGTCTACAGAGTGAGTTCCAGGACAGCCAGGGCTACACAGAGAAACCCTGTCTCGAAAAACCAAAAAAAAAAAAAAAAAAGTAAACTGAAAAGGATGCCTCATATACCTTCAGCTTTTCTTCTGTAGGCTGGATAGCTGTGGCCTTACATCCAAAGCATGTGAGGACCTTGCTTCCATCCTGGGAATCAACCAGACTCTGAATGAGCTTTATTTGACCAACAACGCTCTGGGGGACACAGGTGTCAGGCACCTGTGCAAGAGGCTTAGGCATCCTGGCTGCAAGCTTCGAGTCCTGTGGTGAGAGATGAATACTGATTTCTTGGGGAAAAAGGAGGATGTGGGAATGCTGAGCTCAGATTTTGGGGTAGGAATACCAAACCATTGAGAAGCATAAAAAGTGGATAAATAACTCTGGGGGTGGGGTGGGGTGGTGGGGAGAGAGAGGAGAGAGAGAGAGAGAGAGAGAGAGAGAGAGAGAGAGAGAGAGAGAGAGAG